GTTTTTCATTTCATCACGGACATACCGGTACAGTAGAAGCCTGGGTAAATTATTGCCACGGCTCGTTCTAGTGGTCTTGGATAGGTGCAATAGAGGCGAAGCAGGGTAGCGATCCCTGCGCAAGTTGAGATAGACGGCGGAAGGCTCAATGACATAAAACCGTATAAAACCGTGGGAGGGGCTGGTTGGAATCCTCTTTTTATCTACTTAAACTTTAAAAACTGAAAAGTATATCAGTTCGTGCTCACGGCTCTCTCGTCGCTTCCTTGTGCTCCACGTCACTTGGCCGCTGCACATTGGGAACGGACGGTGCTGTGAGTCATTCCGGTTCCACGACACGCCTGGTGTTCTGCACTGCATACACCTATTTCAACGCTTGGTCAATGTGGACGCAGATGCTGAGCTCATTTTTCCAATCCCATACTATGGGGTACGAGTACTGGACGTGGCACAGACGGCATATTCTACATATTTGCCCCTGTGGGCTGGTGTAGCCACGAGTTCCAACCAGTCGAAGGGACCCACAAGCGTCTCTATTCGTCACAGAGTGTTCACTTGAATGAATTTGATTGGGTTCGTTTCACAGAAGTTGGATCCAAATCGTGCGAGCCGAAATTAGACTCGGCCGTTACGAGTGACTTTTGTATCTCGAAGCGGCGTCCGACTCGTGGGTTTCGCAGCATGAACGCAAGCAGCGTCGTGATGCCGGTGCCGGACAGTGCCGAGCCCAAGGCGGCCGACGAGGCGCGGCTGCCGGTGCTCGCAGCGACCAAGGCGACGGTCACCGATGCGGAGCTCGACGACATGCGTGCCAAAATCCGCGTGCACATTGGAGAGTCCATTCGCGTTGCGCGGGCCCAGAAGCGGCGGCAGCATCGGCGCATCTGCGGCCTCTCACGCGCCGACGTCTATGAGTGGGTTCGGTCTGTTCTCTGCTGCTCAGACGTCGACGCTGCGACGACGACCGACGATTCGGACGCCAAAATCCTCTCGACCAAGAAATTTCTTAGTGGCGTCGAAGAGTTTGCTTGCCTCACGGACCGCGAACTCTCGCAGCTCGCACGCCTCACGGAGCTTCGCACCTTTCGACGGGATGACGTGGTCTTGCTTAGCGAGGACAAGGCGGGTACGGCGCCGTCATTGGGCTTCCATGGACTCTTCTACTCATGTATGTAGATGGCCTGTACATCATCTTATCGGGCAAGGCGTCGCGCTGCGTGCTGAGCGAAGGCTCCATGGACATGGCGATCGAGCCCGAGATGCTCATGTACCAGGAAACCTTTGGCATGGACGTTTCGCCCACGATCGACAAGGACGTGGAGAACATCGAGACGAGCATCACGGCTGGTACGCCCGCCAGCTCACTTGATCGCATATATTGATGGGACTGGACTAGTGTCGCCGGAGCTCGAATGCCTTTGGCTGCCGACGCTGGT